GATGTCTGACATGTCTGCCTGCTTCTGGCACTTGTGATAAAGCCAACCCCGAGATAAAGTGATGTCCCCACGATTGATAAATCCACCCCTCCTTGCCATAGGACCCCACAACGAAAAACCAGTAGAAAAAATTAAGGGTTTGTTTTCAGGATAAACGCAAAAGGAGGCTCAGTGACCCTCATAAAATGTGGTACCAAGCACACGGAGTGGATACAGTCAGAATCATTCGCGTCTATCAGGAAAATGTATCACACGAATGCCCTTTTTTAAACAATCAAAATTTTATTACGATGCGTCTTCAGAGACTGGCCCCAGGGTGGAAACCCGTAAGTTAAGTTAGGATAGATTAACAACTGATAAATATAATGTCACCTGATTCATCACAAATTATCATATGACCCGTACGGCCCCGCGCACGGCTTCGTTGGAAAACCATATGAAAAAAGAGTCCCGAGGGCCGTACGCGTCAAGTCAAAGGGCCCCGGAAAAACGCCTACGGCCCCGCTAGAAAAGTGCTCGCGAAACGAGGCAAATGCTGCCATAAAGGCGTAATCGCTCTGTCAGAAAAATAACACAATGATCATATATATGCTTATTTACTGATTCCGGCCCTCCCACTCAGTGAAAAAGTACATACCTTATTTCCTCGAAAAATAGCCGTCCTTCCATTAATCGCCTCCCTCGAATAATATCCCCCTTAATAATTTAGAATTTAGACGAAAATATTTAAAATAATCGCCTCCCTGGAATAATCGCCCCCCCCCCCCCCCCCCCCCCCCCCCCCTTCTTTTTTTTTTTTTCCCCCCCTCCTCCCTCCTCTAAGACATCGTCCCCCCAACAACCACCCTACAACACCCAACAACCGACACGCGAATATAAGATAAATATAAAAATAAATAAAAGAAAAAAAAAAAGATAAACAAAAAAAAAGAACGAAAACAAATTATTATATATATACATGGTTTTTATTAATTTTTTTCTTAAAAATGTAAAAAGCTTAATTATTTAGTGAAGAAATTAGAAATCATGAAAAAAATCCTTTCCCGGAAAAATTCACCCCGCCCCATTTTGTTTGTTTTTAAAAAATAATAATCGCCCGCTGTTATTATTCGAGGAAATACGGTAATTTAACACTGCCTTACATTGCTTGCACTGTTGGAGATAACAAGACAAGATTTAAAATAAGAATTCAGGAGAATTTATCAAATACAAGCTTAGTCAAGCGGCGACAAAATTCGCTATTTTCTTTTACATCCCGTGACTACTGGAGTTGAATAGAATTGATGCCTTTTTCATTCCTCGTTGAAATATCCCTTCTTTATGATTTTATGGTGAATGGAACTTCATTTCATTTCCACTTCCATCATATGCATCATGTGTTTCTTGCCCATGGCTCCCAACACTCCCTGCTGATGATTGTCTTTGAATAAGAGTGTACCTTGAACCACTGGGACTTGAAATAACGGAGAATGACTTTGTAATTTCACCTGAAATTCTTCGCACTGACGGTGCTTTCTCTCTCTTCTCTGTCTTCTTGACTTTTTTCACCTTGGAAGAAAATTCCGCCTCGACGTTTTTAGCCTTTTTCTTAATTTTTTGCCTTGATAACTCGCGTCTCTTTGAAGTCGTTGTTATGTCAAGAAGTTTCAGGTTTTTGTGTAATTTATCTTCTCTTTTGAAGAAGTTTTCAAACCCATTCGACTGGTTTATTGGAGGCAATTTAAGCGCTTGTAGTTGTCCACGAAACTCGCGAATTTCTTTTTCAAAATCCAACGGTGTTATTGTTGGCATAACTGTTCATCTTATGCCGCCACCAATTCGGTTAACCGTACACAAACTTGAATTTAAAAGTTTTAACTTTAAACTGCAAAGCTGATGGGGACATAAAAATTTAATGTATTTTCTGACGTGTAGCGCTTAGTAACAAATGAAGTTATCCCCTAATGAGAATAAGCAAGCCGCTGATTTGTTATTGTAAAATTAATAATTAACAGCAAATATAGAAATGTTGAGTTTTTCACAAGTACTAGCAATTTACATGTCAAAATTGGAACATTGCTATAATTAGAAACACCTGCGTGATACAGTGGGCCTCATTGTTCTGCGCGGACGAAGCGTTTTGGGTCACGTGGTTAGAGCAAGTGTAGTGTTACCGAAATATTAACTGGAAAGGCCTGGGGAGAGGCCGTATGTGGAGAAGAAACACAAGAGGATTTTGAAACAAATTACCAATTAAGGAATGTGTAGAAACGAGGCCAGAAGTGGAACAAGGTTTAAATAAAGCCAAAATAAAGACTTAACGTAACTTTGCTTGTATGCGTTGACTTTCATATACCAGTACTGAGTTTGTTTTGTGACCTGGGGAAGCAAAATTGCGGCCAACGGCGAGATCTGTTTTGAACTGAAGAGTTCCATGAATCTGTTAACCAAGCGTTTACTGGTTTCGGCGATATATTTGACGAAATTAACCTCGTTTTTGCTAATACACGTATACTGAGGCTGAACCGTACTGTGCCCTCGGGGAGTAGCGATAAAATGTTATTTCTACTGTTCTACAACACCCTTTAAGTTCGGCTTCGAAGACATACCTGCAGCAATATTAGAGGATGTTAGCATCAACAACGAGTACGAATACGAGAACGACTTCAAGCCGTACTCGTACTCGAAGTCGTTTTCGCAGCTTTCTATGTTAGCGATGACACCGAGTTCGAGTTTATAGAACTGTGTAGCAAATATCGTGTTCGGTTGCTTTTCCTCGACTTCAAAAGCAGTATTTTGCATAAAACATAATATAGGGAATGTTCAAGATGATAAAGAGAGGCCAGAAACGAAAAGAAACTGCATTAAACGATCGGAATTTACCCTTGAAAACCAGCTCTTCCCAGTCGTTCTACCCACTTCGAGTTTTTGGTGAGAACTCGTCGTAGTGCAACTTGACAGGACGACTTGAAAACGTGGAGATGCGCAGAACGGATGCCCAGTACGCAAAATCGCTGATCTCGTTCTAGAACTCGTACTCGTTGTCGATGCTAACATCCTCTATTCACAATGACACCAAAACACTGTTATACCTTATATTTGTCAGATCTCACCTGACTATGATTATGCTAGTGAGATCTGGGCTCCTCAGTCAATTGAAAATATTTCGAAAGATGAGGGTCTTCGATAAAGACTTGAGCAACCAAATTTATTCATGGGATATTTTACACGGGATGCATGTTTGAGTATAAGGTCACCTCGATTCGTCCAAAGAGAAACGTTGGGTCCACACGGTAATACAACCTAACCGCCTAGCTCATCATTTCCGCGGAGCAGCAAAAACGTGATGGATCATCGTGCATGTAGGCTATTTATCATCTCATTGCAAAAAGCTAAGTACTGCTGGAATAGAGTGGTTTTCGTTTGAGTGTCGTAAAACCAAAACCAAAGTAATTACTCTGGCCAATCACATAGGACACAGACAATACATTGAACCAATCAAAACTCGAAGTAATTACATGTGGCTGACGCAAAGCGCGGGAAAATGCATGCGAGCGCGTCACAATTGGCTTTGGTTTTACTTCTGATTTGATGAAAAGGTGGCGCGAATCTTTTAAGCCAATCGCATCGTGTAGAAAGTGCAAAACCAATTACTTTTCGACACTCAAATGAAAACCGCTCTAATACAGTGCCGGATCCAGACCTTGAGGGGGAGGGGGGCGGCCCCCAGACCCTTAGAAAAGGGGGGAGGGGGGCGCACACGTAGCCCAAGCTCGAAATATGAGCATCGGCGAGCATCGGCATTGTTGCGTAACATTCAAAATATAAGGATTTGTATGGGAAAAAACCTATCGTTTCTGTAACCTACGAAAATGAAAGGATTTCAATAAAAAACAGCTCACCTTACTTAAAATGTGTGTTACGTCTCTTCTGTGTGGTCCACGGGCCGATTTATGGCTGTTTTATGGGTTTTTATTCAAACGGTTTTCTCTCTATATAAAACCTTTCATAGACAACTTATCTTCTTTCAGTGACAAAATTACACTATTTTACAGTGCAAAACATGAAAATTAACGTTGATTATAGTTTTTTAGACATCTTGATATTGTTATTGTATGATCTTACAAATGACTTTCTCCTGATGCACTCCAAAAGGAACCTTTAAACAATGAAGGAGCAGTTATGCTATTTTAAACTAAATTGACATGAAGGTAATATTACAATTAATATTCAAAGGCATTAAGTGGCTCCTGATCTAATGTAAAATTCTCCCTTTGGTTCATCATCATAAGCAAAGCAAATTGAAAGGAGAATCTTGCATTTTATAAAAAGTGACTAAAAGGGCTTTAAATGGAGACTCCTTCGATTATTACTTTTGTTTTTACTACAGCAAAAAAAAAAAAAAAGAGGCTTCACTAAAGTCAGCCGACATACTACAATCAGCTCCCTCGCTACAGTGGACACCTTGTGACAATGCCCCCTTTAGTCCTGACAGATACATTGACTATTGTTTTAACCTCTTTACAAAATACTTTTCTCTCTGACCCCTGATGGTGGCCATTGTGCAGAGGCTCAACTGTGTATAACAAAAGACCAGAATCACTTCAAAGAGGTTTGTTTAACAGTTTTAGCTAGCGTAACTTCGGTTTGTTTGGCAAGCTTGCAAATGAGCAGCACAAGGGCATAAAAATGTGCCCAAAGTACTTGCAAGCAACTGGCAAAGCTTCACAGCTCACTTGTGTTCCCCCAATGGCACTCCCAAACAAAACCACCAGCTACGCATGCTAGAGCAATTTGGCTTTATGTAGGCTGTTCAAAGTGTTCAGAGAGTGGGACCGGAGGGTACAAAAAGATGTAAAGAGCCTTTTTCCTCTTCTCTACTAAACTTCCACCCTCTTCTTCACTTGAACACTGTGATGCATTACGGCTAGTCTTCATGTAAATGTCAGTTATAATTAAGGCTGAATGAAAGGAATTTTAAAAATAACAGGTTATTGTAGTTTAGAGACTTGTTTATCATCTTAAGCTTGTCGTAGTTTTGCAAGCCTCTGTGACAGCTCATCCTAAAAATAAAAACAAACCTCATTAACAATCTTTTTTCAACTTAATGTATTTCTGCTTCATGTACAAGTGAACATATTTATCTTTGATCAGCTTTAAGAAATCTAATTTCAAAATGGAAGGTAAAATATGTTGGAGTGTCTGTTAATTTAATTAAGTTGAATTAATTGTTAAGTCCAACTGCAAATTTGGTGCGAGTAAAACTGAAAAACTTCTTGTAGACTGAGCAAAAAATTAATATAATCATTATTCCCACAAAATGACCCTTTCTGGTAAATTTGGTGCCTTTTATGTTTTGATGGTTTGTCCTTCATTCATCACCCCGCGCAGAGCAGAGTCTCCTTTTGTCTTCTTGAGTGAGGAGGAGAAAAGGAGGTTTTGGCTGAATCATGTCAAACTTTTGAAGTTGCCACCGCCAAAACTTCTGGACAAGTCAATCTTATTTTCTATCGTCAAAATGTTTTTTTTCGAGTCCGAGTCCATCTGTTAATCGATAGACCAATGGTCATAACCAAACTCACTATAGCAAGCACATCGTTATTAGACCTGGATTCAAAGCTATATCCTAGAAACGTGCCATGCATGCTCAACAAAGACCTTACTTGATGTTCATGCTGAGTCTTTCTCGAGTACACCAAAATCAAATGAGCCAAACAAAAGTTCTGCTGGCAGGGTGGTCATTTGTAAACATTAGCTGAAAGAGTATTGCCTTAACCAATCAGAGCTTTTCATCAGATTCTGGACAGATTTATAATTAGCACAGAATTTTTGAGGTGCAAACAAAGAGGTAAAATAATTATTGTACATGTACCCAGTGATGGGGATCAACGAGAGATGGGTTATTACCACTCTTACTGATTAAGCTTCTTCTAAGTGTATCAATATTAACATAATTTAATACCTGCTCTGCAGAAGCTGCAGAAGCTGTTCCAATTGGTTGCTGTTGTCCAGCAGGGAGCTCCATATTTAATTCCAGCCTGAAAGAGAAAAAAATAATGACAAAAAAGTCAAAATGGGTTTCCAAGTTGCTTGTAGTCTTTAATCTGTTCTTGCCCAGGTTGTTCAAATGCTGGATGGTGCTATCCACCAGGTAAAACATTATTCAGCATATAATGTTTTTTCAAAATCAATTGCGTTATCTATTGGATAGAGATTGATCCAGTGGATAGCGCTATTCACCATTTGAAAAACTGGGGCTTGATATAATTGCTACTCAGACACAAAACTTGGGATTTTCACAGCTACCAGTATTAAGGCTGGAAAAAGTCAGTATCTCTAGAATAGATCAAACTGTTTCTCTCTTGAAAAATTTATTGATCCTACTAAAAAAAACTCAGAAAAAAAAAGAGATAAGAAGCACTACGACAAGATAAGGAAAAGCACACCATAACCTCTTCTCATTTAACCACATTGTTTTGCAAAAGGGCTTGCTGGTATAGAAAATACAACAGACCTTTGGAGAATTAAGATGGACTGAAAGTAGTCTAAAATATATAACAGGCTAAGGTTAGCTACACAACAAAAACATTAATGATAGTTAATGATAGCTCCTACTAGTTACCTACCCTGCTTCATCTGCTACTTGTTGCATGAGATTATCCACTTGTCCCTAAAATGCAAATCAGCACTTGATTACGACTGATCCTGAATATCAGTTTGCTGGTAAGTGACATAATTGCACACGCAGAACGTCCACAGGCCAAGAACTTGATGTACAATCAGAGGATTTTGGTAAACAATGCATTTACAGTTCAAGGGATCCACATTGCTAGATACAGGTATACGTACATAAGTATTGCTGATACTCCCTTGATGGAACTCTACATTACACAATATTATTGTACAATGTCGTTGGGACCTGATGAATGTGCTAATGTACTTTCACATACAGGTGTAATGTTCCCACAGCACTTGTTAAATAATGTTAATATATATGGCATGTGTAAATGAAGTATGGTAAAGATTTGCTTGCCATTGAATGCAGGATAAAATTATTAGAACATATTGTAATAATACTTGCATGCATGGCTAAAGAAAGACTTAAGAGGGAAAGCATCTTATCTACATGTAAAATAATGTAAGACTTGATGATGCACAAGACTAGGCTGGAGATCCTCTAGTTACACAAACTCGTGAATCTAGCTTGGAAAAGGAACATTTGTTAAAAAATGTTTTCTTGAATTGCATAAGCTTATGGCACCTACATGAAAGAATCAACTTTTTACATTCTTGAATATTTTGTCAGTCAGTAATTAGGACTCGCGTTCCACTCTTAAATTACTGCTGCAACACGTCTTGATAATTTTTTCAGTCTAACAACTGCGCTGCATACGTTATGCATAATAATATTATGTTAGTTCATGTGTGTATGGCTACACAAAGCTAGGCTATGCATAATTTGTTATATGAACCATACACAAAGGAAAAATATTCAAAACATGGTTTGAGTAATATCATTGGCTGGTACCCAGGCAGTCTTCTGGTAAACAAAACATGTTGAAAAAAATTGTTGCCCCACCTGTGGCACTGTGAGTGTTGTAGTGTCACTCATGGCCTGTTCCATGTAGCTTGATTGAACGTCAAGATGTTCAAACTGCTGCTCAAACTTGTCCATCAAAGCAGAAATCTGAAGAAAAAAATCATTAAAAAAACTGTTAAGGTTAAATTTTTGTTTTACTTTGGATAGCTAACAAGATTTCTAGCTTAAAAGCAAGACAGTGTTTGGAATAATGACAAAGATAGATTGTTTGTGCAGATTTTTTTCTTTTCCTTTGGAGGGGGATCGAAGAGTCATATTTGGCAAGTGTGAATAGAACCATAACTTTAAAATCAGGCCTACATGTAGAGCAGCAAGGATAAACTATTTTAAATTTTCATTTTTTAAACGTTAAGTTAATGACTGGAACTCTTTACCTAACTCTGTTATGTCAGCTTCCAGTTTGAACTCTTTTACAACCCGATTACTTCATTATTTCTTACTATATCTGGATTTTCTTATTTTTCTTAATTGTTTAAGTAGTTACTAACCTCTAGTTTCTTTTTCCTTACATAATCTACAGTATATTTTAAATACTCTATTTTTAATAACTGTATTTATCTTTTAGTTTTGGAGCAGTTTTTATATGAAATTCAGTTTCCCCCTATTGCTTTCTTTTACTTACTGTACTTTTATATATAGTTTTTATGATGATTGTTTTTATTATTTCTAGTATATCTTTGTACAGTGGTAAAAAGCATCATTAAACTTAAACTTAAACTGTGTCCATGCAAAAGTGAGTGGAGCATGGGAGAACGAGTGCAAAGCATGAGAAAAAATTTCCACATACCAACTATTTTCTCATTTACCACCCCCACCCACTATTGATAACAGTCAATAAATTCCCCCATGGTTATTATTTCCACATGTACACTACAGTAAAGTTAAGTAAAGTAAAACTTTATTTACACGGGGTAGCCCATTCAGCTCTAAGGCTGGTCTCTGTAGGAGCCCTGTATCTTAAAAAATACTCCATGATCTCTTACGAGAAGAACAACAGAAGGTCTGTAAAGAGGGGGAAAACAAAAACCTACCTTTTCTAAGTTCATGGACCTCATAGCTGAATCCATTGACTTTACAACTCCAGCCATTGACCCAGTCACCTAATGTTACACATATAGAAAAAAGTGAAGACTGTTACAAATGATTATGTACTGTAAAAAACATCTATGTACACACAAATTTTACACTTGGTATTTTGCAATTCCTAAAATCCAAGGGCCTTCATTTAGTTCCAAGTAATATTATGCTAGTCTTAGGCTTTTTGATTCCCTGTTTATTAAGCTCAGTGTGTTTTTGTTTATTCCAAAGAAGGTGGTGGCCAACTCGAAAGCAAATGCTACTTTGGCCATCACACACATTCAATTTTTTACTCATGACTCTGTTTTAGATTTGTATCTTATTTAATATTAACTATTCAAGGCAATCTGTAACTTAAATCTGTGAACTTTTACTTAAATAGTGTGAAATAAAATGAACCAATGAATCCCAGGCTAGGAGAATGGAAGAAAAATAGAACCAAACTAAAGAAATTTCATGCTGTTTGATTCTCCTATGCTTGTTGTACCTAGCACCCAAAAACTTGAATCTTACGGACAGCCCTGAAAAACCTTTTCTGATGCCAGTACTTAATACAACTTGCATACCGGTGCACATGCAAAGCAGAAAAAAGTGGTTGGGGTTTATTAGTTCTGGTTCATTAACTCCTAAATCTTTTTTTCACCTGTTTCATTGTAACAGCTGTCTGCACTCGTGATGCTGTGGCGTCAATTCTTGAGCTTAGTCGCATAAAGTTCAAGGCCTACCATGAAATAAAATAATATGTTTTAAATATTTAACCCAATAGCAAAATCTGTATGACAGGAAACAAAATAAATAAATAAATAAATAAATAAGTAAATAGAAATATCGCCACCTTTTAAGTGCACATTATTACTTTCAGGTCAAAGTTCAAGAACCAAATGTTTATCTTTTTATACTACCAAGCTTCTATGTATTCAAGTAAACAGTTAATGATTCTCTTTATTCTCATCATTAGTCTGAATAATAATCCACCAATAACAATTAGGAGAAGTAAGATATTGATCTGCTTACCTGATTCTTTTGTCTAATGGAATTTTCAGCATGTATTCTAGCTCCATCTACATTTCCTTTTTGGATAGCCTTGAAAGAATCAAGAATGCAGATTGAGCAAAATTTTAACTTTTTTCAATCAAAAATCATTTACAAAATTAATTCAAACACACAAATTAGTTACCTTCTTTAACTTCAGTTTCTCTGCTTTTTCTTCCTTTTCACACTTCTTTGACTTTCTTTCTAAATCCTTAGCTGCAAACTTATTTCAAAGGGAAAGCAGTTACATCAGCCTTTTGGCCATTAACATGGACATGTGTATTCTCTTCACTATTCTCCATAATTGATAGAACATTAATTTTCTTATAGTAAATGACAACAAGAATTTGCTTAAAAATCAAGTCCCTATTACATGTTCTTTTTTAAAATTAAATTCCCCTTACTTTCAAGGAGAAATTCATGTGGTCAGCTCCGATTTGACCTGTAACTCATATGCTGACTCCACAGAATGGCCACAGAGGTACATTTTTGTAACCAGTTCTTTTGTACCCAAGTCAATTCACACCCAGCCGATTTGTACCCACACTTCGGTCAATTTGTACCCATTTCAAGTCGATTCATATACCAAAAATAGCAGAGAGAATACAATAAAGTGCCTTTGACATGTGATACACTTTGTTCTTTAAGTCACAAGGAGAAGTAGTGCACTATGAATGTAATATGTTTTGTTCTTTAAGCCACGAAACAGGCACTACACATAGAATATAAAAATTTTGCAGTTGTAATGTTTGTAGGTTAAGTTAGTAATGATTACTAATTAATATGAAATTGACTACTAAGTTTTGTGTGTCTTGTTGACCTAAATAAGCATAAGTAATTTAAAAAATCCAAGTAAAAAATAAAATCGACTTGGGTACAAATTGACTTGAGGACGAAATGAGCATATCTGAAACTCCAACTAAGGACATACTAACTCCCACCCCCCTAAGAGGGCCTCACTTATTGGAATGGGCTGTCAGTAAGATTTCAGGTTGCTGGGTATAGGCAGTTAGTAGGCAGGATCTCTTTTTGGTCTTATATTCCTTTTGTTTCTCATGAAAATAGCCAGAGATGGTGTTCATAGAAGTCAGGGGAAATGTTTGGTCCCTGGCCCTAAGTAACAGCCCTGCTTATGGGGAAACCGGTCGTCTTTATACAAAGTCGTTTCAATACAAGTCGTTTCGATATGAACTCAAGCAGTGAAACTGCACAAAAATTTTGATCACTTCAAGTTAAGTTTGCAGTTGAACTAGAGAAACATTTTCGGTAAATATTCTTTGTTCTTTGTATTGATACGACTTTGTATCGAAACGACCAGTAACCGTTTATGGACCTGATAAGTACCTACCTTTAAATTAAAAAGGTGTTCTAAGCAAAGTAGAAAAGACTAGTTAAGGAAATTATTCCCTGCAGCAGATAGATCAAGCTCAACATTACATGTACGTAAAATATTAACAATTATCAAATTAAATTTTAAAGAAAGCATACATGTAGTTGGTGAACGTAGGGTGGACTCATCAAAATGATACAGCGTAATTTTCAAAAATCACTATAATAAACAACCATCAGCACATTGCCCAGCTCAGATCAGTGCTACTAACAAAAGAGTGACCCTCTTTTCAATGCACTCCATTCATTAGAGCTTTATACATTTCTACAAACAAAAAACAGCACAAGCAACAAACACAAAGCAAGTAGTAACTAAGGACATGATCTCAAAAGGAAGATCAAGCCGACAATTTAGGCTTTTAACTTCAAAAGGACTTGCATGCAAGACAAGTTTCTTCATAGCTACAATGTAGCTAGAAGACTAACATCAGATGAAAATGATGAAGAGAAGGCACTTTTAGATGCAAAGGATACTTTCCATCTGACTCGTCATGTTGATAAGAAATCCTTAAGGTCCCCTACACCTGCTGAAATACCTTTGCAAGTTGCTTATTTCTGCTGGGAATAAATTTCAAAATGTCCGTTCCTACAATGTTTTCATCTCCCAAATCGGTAAAAATGATGTCATCAGTGAGCCAAAATCAGATGACCAGCAGTTTCCCTTCCTACGCCATATGACGTAGGTAGACGTCATCACCAAAAATTTATTTGGATTCCCAAGGAGATGGTAATGGAAGACTGGGGTCCATTCATTTTTTTAGTGCCCAGTTTGCCTAAGTTTGCCTAGTCCCTACAAAATCCAAAATGGCGGCCGTGAAGTAGTCGTTCGTGAAAAGGGTTTTACTTTTGGCCCCTTATAAATAATGGCATTTCAGTTAAGAAATGCCCGTGTCTTCATATGTTTGTCAAGACAGTATTCTGTAAATCACTTCAGCTTTCAGGTATGTTGTAGGTCCAGACGACAAGTTTCAAGCCCCTGGGAGGTACTCCTGGGAATTCTTGGTGGTGGTGTGCCGCCCGGTTCTCCAAATCCTGACCCGATTTCAGACCAAAAAATGTTATTTCCACGCCCGTTTTCAGACCAGACCTCTAAAATCCATACCCGTTTGCACACCTAGCGTTTAGGCTGAAATTATGTCATTGTTACTAAGATTAGAGCGCAAACAAAAAAATTCTTCAGATCAGTTCGAGAATTCGCATATTTCTCTTTCTTTCCTCTTCATTTGGAATTGAAACGATAAATATGTTCATTCACTCCCGTAGTTCCCTCGAAAACCATACCTGATTCCAGACCAAAAGAGGCAAAAGCTATGCTCATTTTCAGACCGGCACATACCTACATAGCTTATATGGGGGAGTACCCCCAGGTTTCAAGTCCGGGGGTTGGGGGGTTTTCCCGGGAATTTTTGATGGGGGTGTGCCGCCCAGTTCTCCAAATCCTGACTCGTTTTTTAAGTATAGATAGAAACTAAGTCACCATTTTTAGACTTGAGCTTGAATGAAAAGGCTTCTTAAAATCCGTTTCGAATTTCCATATTACTCTTTCTTTCTGATTCATTTGGAATTGAAACAACAAATACATTCATACACTACTGTAGTTTCCTCGAAAACCATACCCGAATGCAGACCAAAATAAGGAAAATCTATACCTGTTTTCAGACTTAAATGGCACTAAAGTAAAACCATACCCTTTGGGGTGGCACATATCTACATGGCTTATATATAGGAGTACCTCCCTGGGGTCTCAAGCCAGCCTGACTCTGGCCAACCTGGGGGCCAATTTCATCTTCACCTCCTTCCACCACCTACAGACGAAAGTCTCTGAGAAGTGGGGGGTGAGCTTCATAAGTTTTTCTCTGGGGGTCGCTGCATCGACTCCTCTAGTCTTTGGAATATTTCTGAGGGATTTTGGAAAAAATCCCCCTCATTATGGAGTTGTGCCTATTGATCCACACTGCCCATGACTTTTTGATACACAGTTCCCATGACTTTTTGCGCGCACACAAAGCATGCCGACGCATATTGCTTCCTTTGACTCTAGACTGAAGTGTTAGATTATTGTTTCTATGATACAAAGGTAATTTAACTCAAGCAAATCGATAATTTGAGCTTTTGTGCTACTCTCCGCTTTATTAGGAAATGCAATCAATTATCTTGTAAATTACTTTGACTTTATGAAATATTTTAACAATTTAAGCCAGTAGAATGCATGGAACGCCAGAAAAAACAACGAGCGGTTTCAAATTGCAGCCATTTTGAGTTGTTGTTTAAGTATGCAAATCACCTACCCCTTCTCTGTTTGTTCATTGGCTTCCCTCTGGGGTAGGACCCTGGGCTAACCAGGGCAATATGTTGGGAAAACAAGGGTATGGATTGGTTTCTTTGTCCCTCGTGGGGATGGGACGTTTCTCGACATTGTCTTATGTTCAATGGAAAGGGGTGGGGGAATTCAGAACTTTGTAAAATCATGGACAACAACCACGGGTATGGGATGAGGATTCATTGCTTTCCTCAACCAATAACGTTTCGGGAACACAAAAGGCTAATAGGCATTTTCCAGCTGCCAAATTTATCAGATAAAGAGTGGAGAAGGGAATGGTGGCTACAACTACTAAAGGAGTTGCAACTGCTATCGCTCTAAGGATGTTCTTTTATTGTACCGATTTTTTAAGAAAAGATATCATATTGCTTCTCTAAGCTAAAAATGCATCAGTTAAATTTTATCCACAACTATCATAGCTAGCCATAGATAAGGACGATATCGGAGGGATTTTTAATTGAGAAGCACTTGAACCAGGGGACTTTGTCTTGCTGAATTCCCACACCCCCAGAGGAAATTGTCAACTTTGCTCCACTCAATTTATAATCCTCCGGGATGGCCCAGGATCTTTCCTTAGGGGGAAGCCGATGACGTGTACATTATAAACCCTCATATTCCTGTCTGTTTTACTGTGACATGTCCTCTCTTTCCAGGGACCCCAGGCTTGTATGAGGATATTTTCTGGAATCCAGCCAACAGGAACTATGCACATTGGGAACTACCTAGGAGCAATCAAAAATTGGGTTTCACTTCAGGAGGAAAGTGAAGGTGCTGTAATATATAGCATTGTAGACCTGCACTCCATTACACTCCCTCAAGATCCTGCCAGTCTGCGACAAAGTATCAGAAATATGGCAATTTATCTTCTGGCTTGTGGAGTTGATCCTGTAAAAAGCATCCTCTTCCAGCAGTCTCAGGTAAGCCTATATGATTAGAGATTTCAGAGTGCCAATTCCAACACTCAGTCTAACATTAACTAGATGGCCCTGTTATGACAGCGACTACACCATACATCAGAGGTACCTCTGAAACTATCGTACATATACTACAAATTACCTTACAACATGCACGTTGCACACAAACCGATAACCACTTTACGACGACTTCTTACTAATGTCAAGAACAAAGACAGACTGGAGGACAGACAGGGAGCAGTACTATACAAGTCCAAATGCTGCGACTGTTAGGCTACTTACACTTGTGAGACCGGCAGAAACCTTAGCACGCGACTGATTGAACACAAATGAGTGACAAGAAATGGTGATGTCAACAATCACATTGCTGAACACCATTTACAGGTGAAACATTAAATTGACTGGGACTCTGCAACATGCATAACATATTCTACAGACTACTATCAATGACTCACTTTAGAAAGCTGGTTTACAAACTTAGAACAAATGCCACTGAATTGCAGTCAACAATTACCAGCACCATACAAAAGACTTATTGATGGACTCAAACAAAACTGACAATGACAGAATGACTGATAAGCGACAAGTTGACTCACAATAAATGACTGTCCAACTGTGACAAAAAGATGGATCGAAATGCACCAATGACATTTGAGAGTCTTTTTAGCCCATAACATCACAGCTTAACTGACAAGTGACCAACAACACTGCGACTTAATTGATCGGTCAGGTCAACGACCAGAGTTTAATACCATCAACCTACGAGATACAACTCACTTTGACTCTGAAGATGACTACAGCACAGGTTGTTGAAACATCCCTCACTGTCAACAACAGGACTACATTCACCTGAACAATCATACTTTTCGATAGCAAACCAGGAAGCTGTCAGCCAATCTGCGGCATTATTATTGCGAATAAAAGGTATAGCTTTGCAAAAGCGGCCCTTGTTCGTTCTATTCGCGCTAGTGGGAAGAACCGCCGCCATCTTGGATTTAGCATTGTTATGCGCAGTACAGGGTGCGCAGTGCAAAACAAGGGAATTACCTTAAGGAATGACTCATGCAGGCTTCAGACCTTTCACATTTTCATTGTAACTGCTGAGAACTGTTGTAGGTCAGCTGAAAGTGCAAGCAAATTCTCAGCTGGTGGAGCAAGAAAAAGGCTTCCAAATTCTTCTTCTCTCTCTCTCTCTTAATTTATTCCCTTGCCTGTATCTCTGAGAGCTTGCTTTCAAGCTTCTGGCAATAATCATTCAAGCAGTATTGGGATACCACTCTATTCTCTGTGTGCTTCAATACATTAATCTCAGAATTCTCCCTACACTGTAATTTCTGCCCCCAAACATTAAAAAAGATGCTTCTGTCAATGCAGGATAATCATTAGTTTCAGAGCCTTTAAGGATTGCATTGCCGACCATCTATTTAGGACTTTAAAAAACTTGAATTCCAGCTGGTCATTTTGGCAAGCAGCTCTCACATTTAACTTTAACCTGGGGCCACTTCCTACTCATCTTCGTTAATGATTTTGTCAGAGGATGACTTGGACCTTTGGCCATTGGAAAAGTGAGCTTTAAAAGTTACTTGCCCAGCAAGAAAGTCCACATGTCCCAGGCTACAGACCGGATAGGACTTTCTTCAGGCTCTGCATCTCTCCTTATATTTTGTTTCATTGTATAAAAGGTATCCCAGCATGCAGAGTTGGCTTGGATTTTAGGCTGCATGGCTCCCACAGGGTTTTTAAATCGCATGCACCAGTGGAAGGTAATATGTGGCCATTATTTCATTGATCATTTAATGTGACTAAATGTAATTTAGGCAAACCTAAACTCAAACCAATAATGCTGGTCAGCAGTTTCTACAATTTTGCATGGGGTGGCTCCTATACTCTGAGAAAGCACACCTTGTGACTTGTATACACAGTTGCTTGATTGGAGTTCTACTCAAAGTGTCTTTTTCTATATATAGTTTTTTGTTTCTTGTTTGCCGTTTTAGTGCTGTGTTTCTCCCAACCCTTCTCCATGTTTAGTAAGGGGATTGATAAGTGTTAGTCGGTAAGTATTCCACTAAGCAATTCAGTATGATGGTGCCTGGTGGAGGCTGCTCGCAGCATTGCCATGGATACCTCCTTTCTCATGCTAGAGAATTGCCATGTACATGTAGACACCCTCACCCAAGCTCATCTATTGATGATGATTTTAATCTGAAAACACGCCTTTTCAAATCTTTTTGACTTTGTTTTCCAATTTTTTTTTCAGACAAAAGGAAATGAAAACAAGGAACAAAGTTGCTTAGGACTCTATTCCTACCCTGTTTTAATGGCAGCCGACATTCTCCTTTACAAGTAACCTTGATCATTGTGAATTTGCAAAGTTAGACATAATTCTCATTTTTATCTGTCAAGTGAACATCTATACCTGCCAACTTTCATGCATTATGCGTGATTCTTGTGCCTGCCGACTAAAGACATTGATCTCTGCCACACATCAAGGGCACTTTCTCATGCCTTAACCAATATTCAAATTCAATTTCCCCAGATATTCCAAAAAGGCACTTAACATTGACTTTGTGTCCTAACTGTATCACATTATGCTAATATTGTCTCCTTTTAAATAGCTTAAGAAGTGCTCAGAGATCATTGGAACATCTTCGGGGTAATGTTCAGAAATATATTCGGAAGTGGGCGGTACACTTTTGGAGATCCCAATCGTCACAAGAGAAAAATCTCATTCACCTGACTCAGAAAAAGTTGGCAGGTATAACTGAGTGGGAATTCTGACAGACATTTATTTATTAACCATTTACCTTCAGAGCCACACATGTTCCAATTGGAGAAGACCAACTTCAGCACCTGGAACTTGCCAGAGAACTTTGCCGACTGTTTAACAACAAATATGAAGACTTTTTTCCTATTCCCAAGGCTATACTAGGTAAAGCATTTATGCCTGTTATCTGTGAACGAGCTATTTAATGAGAATGCTCAGGTCCTGTGTCTGACAGGAAATGATTTGCGTGAGAAAACAGCTGTGGCCAGCCTGTAGCACACGTGTGAAACCAAGCTTTGCCATGCTACACAATTAAGTTCAACTTGACGTCTGAAACCAAATCGTGCTATAGTTGTGCTAGAGTCATGTTGAACTCGAACCGGCTTAAAACAGTGGTAGCGTGACGTTTGACACAGGCCTGAAATTTTTGTGACTACCACTGGTTTCCCCGCGAAATGGGAACAAGCGCAGAAATTCCATACTGACGAGTGTCACTACTCAGATATGGGTAGTGCTTCTGATTGGTTAAAGCAAATTTCCCTCACGGTACCATTATTTTCCACTTCTTTCTGCAGGTAACTTTAAACGTGTGATGAGCCTTAGAGATGCCACAACAAAAATGAGTAAATCAGATCCCCAGGAAATGTCCAGGATTGAATTGTCAGATTCACCAGATACCATAAAGACAAAGATACAAAAAGCAACAACAGACTCTGAAAAACATATCAGTTATGATCCACAAAACAGACCAGAAATGTCAAATCTTATAAACATTTATGCGGAATTTAGTGGCTTGTCACATCAACAAGTCTGCGACAGATATCAAAACATGGAGAAGTGCAAAAAAGCTTTCAAAGCAGACTTGACAGAGTTAATAGCATCCGAGCTCAGCTTTGTGCGAGATAACGTTAGCACAATTCAACAGGATGGGAGCTATGTTGACAGTGTTCTGAGTACTGGGGCTGAGAGAGCACGAAACATTGCTGAAGCGCACTTGCGAGAAATTAGGCAAATGATCGGCCTTAGATAGCCGGGTATTAATTTTTCTCTGTGTCACTGATTTCTAGTGCTCATTATGATGATTATAGTTTGGGCCATCATTGAGATTCCTAATTAATTACTAATGTCATCTCCGCCAATCAGCATTTCCCATCGACTTTTTCGAGACGTAGTTTCAGGCTCTCCTTCCTTTTCCCGCTCCGCTGCCAGAGCCCCCGGAGAACTCGCTCGCAGGCTACTTTAGCACTGACATTGACACTAGGTTTTTACTTGGAGCAAAGTGTTGGATTAGGGTAGGGGAGGGGACGTGAGCAGTTACTCCGAATCGTAAAGTGAACCACAGCCTGTTTCTCATATTACAAAAAAAAGGTTCCACTTACTGAGACAATTTATTCTTCATATGGTGTTATGGATCACCTGAAGAGAGACTATGGCCCCGTTTACATGGAGAAAAGTTGCCCTGATCGAGTAGCAGGGTCACCCTCCCAGCTGAGTTAACTTTAGTGACAGTGGGGAGCCAACAGTGCATGCGCATGCTCTGATTGTCTCGCCTTGACCGAGTTGACCCGGCTGGGTGAGCCAAAGTGTTTATATGGAGAAAAGTTGGCTCGGCTAGCAGGGTGTTCCCACTACATATATCATAAAGGTTGACCGGCTAAACACCTAGTTGGCAGCCTTCTAGCGGTGCCAACTTTTTTGTTGTTTTAATTTTTATTTATTTATTCATTTATTTATTTATTTATCTATACTGGAGAATCTGGTTTTGCATAGCTAATTTAAACAGAGTCCTGTGAAAAAAAGAAGAAGAAAAAAAAAAGAAAAAATACCTACTATCATTAATTACCGCTAATTAATAAAAATACCACTATCTGATTAATACAAGAGAATTATGAAAAGAGAGTATTACGCTAAAAGTACGTAAGCACGCGACAATGGAAGGATTTCAAGGGATAGCTGCTTGGGACTTGAAATACCGTTTTGCTAGGGACTTAAATTTATTGAAGTCTTAACGGCTCTAATATTGGAGGGGAGGGAATTAAAGGCACGCGCACCGTTAATCCGAAAACTGCCCTGGTATTTAGTGGTTTTGGCCAGGGGCAGCCGTAGCTTATCACATTGTCTTGTGAAATGGGAGCGAAGTTGGTGAACGTGTCTAAATTCACTCAGCAGATAAGAAGGTGCTATCCCATTGATACACTCATAGACAAGGATAGATTTATGGAAGTTGTGGCGCGTTTGCAAATGGGGCCAGCCAAAATTGGTAGAAGGTTCGTCCGACTTGACCACACGGCCCTCAATTACACAGTGCAGCACGGCGATTTAGCATGTCTAAGTAGGGTTTACTACCCTGGCCACAACTATCCCAAACAACCGCGCGATAGTCAAATAAGGACAGAACCATAGTATTATATAATGTAATACAAGTAGACTTGGGTAAGATGTTAATGGTTCCCGTGTTTTGTAAGCTGAATGTTTGACCAAAGTTGCTCGCCCAAGCTAGCTCAGGAAGGCGGGTAAACCTCCTACCCGGGGCAACTTTTCTCCATATACGCGGAGCCCAAGGTAATGCCCTTGTTTCTCCTGAGATAGCAGCAGAATTGGCGAAATACGCGGACGCGCGAAAAATCGCCACTCGCGAGGAAAGCTGACTTGCTTTGCATTTGAAGTTTGGGAATTACTTTCGAAATTTTTGTCATTCATTTTTAACGTATACATAAAAACTAAAATTACTTTAAAATGAAGCAGTAGACCAAAGGTTACGTTATGTAGGTTTCTCGGCATATTAAAGAACTCACTTGGAATGTCAGGAGACTACACGAAAAGCTTTGAAATCACGAACTGAAGCTGAGTGATTTACAACGACAGCAACAAAACGCGAATAGGAATTAGTTAGCTTGGCACTTAGTCTTTCAACCAGATTATGGTCTTCATGGTTTTCTTTAATTAACGCCGTGTCACAACAGTTTCGCACACTAGTATTCAGCAAATCAAACTCCGCGGCGAAGAATTATATAACTTCACAAGAAATTGTGGACTTTACAGCACAACTGGCCTGTGTACAGAAGTCCCCTCCCTTCCAAAAAAAAATTGGAGAGAGAGAGAGAGGCCCGGTCCCCTCTTTTTTAGACCAGACTGAGGCTCGATAAAAAGTTTTTGGAGACTTCCTCGCCCCCCCCCCCATCTCAAGATCTGGATCCGGCACTGACTAGGATCTTCCTAGCTGAGAGATAGGATGATCCTAGAACCAGGAAGATCCCAGCACCATGTTAACTACCTTTGCTAGGAAGATTCTAGTACTACTATAGCTAGGGACAAACAGATCAAAAATAGCGGCTAGTCGTTCAATGGGTTATCTATAATCTTTAATTCATTCTCTACTGTTACCCACACCGACCGAAATTTCTGCATGTGAACTCAACGAAAAGTTGTTCCGTCTTCTTTGATCTTCCTACCTCCATGTAAACAGCCCCTTATCTTCTAGTTTGAAGCCAATAAGTGTGCCTAACTTATCTGTCCAATTCCTACTTGGCTTTCTTTAAGCCCCGTCAGGAACAAACAGACGCAACATTGTTGGCCCAACATTGTTGGGAGTTGTTGCGTCCGTTTGCACGTAGCTAGAAGTTTGACCGCTTGCAAACTTTGCGCAACAAACCCCAAAACATGCAACCGGGTGTACAAACGGACGCAACATGTAAGAGGCCGTCGACACTTTCGCCCCGCTTAACGTCAACTGGACGTTTGGGGGGGAGGGGGGTATAGCATTTTTGGACAAAATTAATGCTTGTTCATAATTTGGAATGGCGCTCGAGAAATTCGATTCATTAAGAGAAACCAGGAACAATGAAAGAAGTGAGCTGTTCAATATACATTGTGATCTTTTAAACTCTATCCTAAATGACCAATAAATGTTTAAAATGCCAAAAATTATGGTTAATTTGCTGACATTGTAAATACTTTGTGAACACAACTGGAATCTTTTTTCAATACATATTTTCAACGTCAGCGTCCTTGTTTAAGAATCCATTCACAGCCTCATCGGACAAAAACCGAGGCAATCATTTTCACTTTAATCTAACAACATGCGGCCATGTACCAGCGTTTCTGGCTTTCTTTGACCTCTGAGTACTATAGCATCGACAGGAAAAAGGAATTATGCAGATCTTGCAAGAGAACAGGTAGTTCGAAGTAGGACGTTTCTACCACGTTTCAAAAGAAGTAAATTGCGTTGATACCATGGACACCTTCGGGGGGGAGGGGGGGGGGGACGGCGAGTTATGAACTAAACGTCCAGTTGACGTAAAGCGGGAAAAATATGTCGACCACCCTTAACATCCAACAATATTGGGAGTTGTTGGCGAACAATGTCGGTTACGCCCGTTTGCACGGGGCTTGAGAGTTTTCTTTGAGTGGGTACGCGTTTAACCATCGCATTTGCCCACTGGAATCTTTTATTATTAAGCTTAAAAGCAAAAACTTTCACCGAGCAAATGCGACGGCGAGATGCGTATTCTGCAAATAAATTCACTTCATCAGATGTACATAAGAAAATAAACAAATGAAAACAAATGCAAATATCAGTGTTCAATTTAATAACAAGGATTTCCCGTTTTCCACTAAGCTATAAAACGGTTTTTTATCTATTACAATGATTATTTAACCATACTGTCTAATTATGGATTCTTAACAGACAGACCGCAGAAGCTATCTCCATGACAACACAGGGGTGCATATTTTAGAGATAACGTGAGGCCACGACTAACGACGGCGACGGCAACGACAACGGCAATAAACCAATAGGTTTAGATTGACAAAATAACAACTTTGCACGTGCATCACGCTTTTTTGTACACTTCTTTCCTTCGTTGCACGACTACAACGTGAAAATGCCTAATTTCGCGTTTTGTCTAGGACGGGAACACAAAACAACAAGTTTCTTTGCCTTTTCCTAAACTTCGATACAATCCTTTAGAATTTAACTCCAAAGAAATTTGCCAACATTTGACGAATGAAACGAGATGGAATAAGCGTAGCTCGAATTCACTTTTTAAGTGACGTTTTCGTCCCGTCGCCGTTGCTTTAGCTCTCTGACGTAACACGCGGAAGCGGTGGCCGGAAAAGAATCCTCCGCGCGTTTTTCGCTTCAGTTTTCACGAGCTCTGCACATTACAAACTTGCAGCCTAGGCTACCTAATATACTTCACGGCAAACGATTGATACAAAACGCTGACATTTGTGGAGCGGTTTTCCGCAATGTAATGCCGTAAAACTAACACGTCAAGATGTCTGCATATGATGCAAACAATGAACCAATCAGAGCTGAAAGCACACGCTGATTTATGTTTGTGATTGGTTGAGAAAGTGGCACGAGATTTTTCAGCCAATCACAGAGCGTGCCAATACAAAACCAAAGAAATATCAAAAGTACCTTCAACATTTCATTGATACCCGGCTCTGTGTAATAACTTAGGGTACTAAGCACTAGACTGTGAAATTCTTCACAACTGAAGAAAACAATATAATGATAGAACTGTCTACAGTTCACGATGTATAATGTACAGGAAATACATTAGTCTATA